TGAGGATTCAGCAACTTGGAAACCTGTCCAATTCTTTTCCCGTTGTAATGGCGATTAATATTTAATAATAAAATGACCAAAGTCTATTCTTCATGAAAATGGCCCAATTGATTTAATTTAAATGTATCTTTACTGGTATCACATTTCTTAAAGTTTATTCCTACTTGAAACGGTCTTCAGACATCAGTTGAACATTTCTGAAGTCCATTTTAATTTTATAGAACACTCTTATTCTTTAGAACCAAATATTCAATAGGGGAAATTTATAGTTCAGGACATCCCAAGAGGGTAGTGTTCCAAGGACAATCTGTCCATTTGAATACCACTGATAAAACTATGTTTGTTTACCCTATTACTGTGAATAAGTACATAGAATTTTCCTTTGTGAGTTTACATCTTCAGGATGCTACCAGGCTCAGCCTTGTAATCTCTAACAAAGCTTAGTGTTGAACTAGTTACAACCTCCCAATTTATGAGGTTGAGCTAGCATTAGGATGGGAACAACTGCCGTAGAGGACAGGGACCTTGTCCTGAACATCTCTGTGATCTCTAAAGTGCTCTGCACAGAATTGACACTAAGTTCAATAAATGTTTCTTCAATAAAGGAAGAAATGTTCTGCTGCCACTTACAGTGCAGAGCAGTTTCCATCTTCAAAGCACTTTATTCACATTAATTCAGCTATTTACATTTTGCTGATGGGTAAACGGCTAGAGAGGCTAAATGGGCTGTTAAAGGCCAGAAAGAGGAAACCCTGCCTGTCAGGAATAGAATTTGCAATTACTGATTACTGGTCATATGTCTTTTGATTTTTTTTTTTTCCCAGAGAAAAGAAAAAAAAGGACAAACAACTCGTGACAAAAGCCACTTAGGCACTGGGTATTCTATGTCGGCACAAGTCAATAGCAGTTAAAAAAACAAACCCATGACATGGTCCCCACATCAAACAGCTATGAACAAATTATGTGTGTGTGTGTGGGGGGGGGCGCGTTAAGTAGTGTGTGTGCGCACATTTGTTTGCCAACATTTTATATACATACTGTAATGCAGAATTATATCTTCCCATTTGCAATTCTAAAACAACTTCCAGGTGCTACATGCCATTTACACAGGAATTAAAATACATTTGACCTAAAGCTTATTTTGCTCTTGCAAAGAGTGGTAATTGTATAGATCCAAAGGCGGTAGCAACATCATAATTTCAAAATAGACATTAGGACAATTTAAAAATCCATAGAATCCTACTGCAAATTAAAGTACACATGGAGACTCTCAGGTGGGTACAATTAAGCTACTTCATACATTTCTTTGAGCTAGTTTACATCCCCAAACTCTTATCTTTTTAAAATTTATTTTGCTGAGTTTGGGGAAGAGGGAGGGGAGATTTCTTGGTCATGGATTGCTTTAGCTTTCAGTTGTGTTTCTCTATTCCTTGGAGACCTTAACTTTCTCTAAGCAGCATCCTAGAAAGACAACACCAAAAGGTATAGTGCATACAGATCCTGAAAGCAAGGTATGGAGAGTAGTCAGTTGGGAAAGCACTCAGATAAGTCAAAACATCTGGTTTGTGGGTTTTTTAACCATGCTATCTACTTCTCTCTACTCTGCTGAAATCTATGCAATAAAGAAATTAATCATAAGGAATGTCTTTCTTGTACTCCCAAAGCAACACTTGATGGGACAAAAAGGAGTACATTTCTACCTTGTCAATGACATTGTGGTGTGCCTAGCATCATGCTTGGTTGGGGAGGAGGTATTTTAGAAATGGGGAAGGACAAGTGCAAAGAAAGTACTGAGGATATATTGGAAACTAAGACCAAAATTAAAAGGACTGATGTAAGACAAATGCTCAGTGATCAGGAGTCAGAAGAAGACAGCAGAGAATGTTGTTCAGAGAATTTGGAGATAGTGAATCTTAGTTGGCTGGGACCTGGACAGGCAGGTACCTAACATGGAAACTTAAAGATGTAGGGGAAGTGGTTGAGACAGAGTGCTGCCTCAGAACAGGGTTAAAGCCCACAGAAAATCTTTGTTCCTCAGTTTAGGAGGGCAACTGGGAATAGACCTAAATACAGCCTCTAGGATGGAGGTTCCTGACAAGGAAGCCATCAGGATTGTAGAGGAGATCTACAAAGAAGTTAATGCAGGGAAGTGTATTAGACTAGAATAACCCCCAAGAAGTCTCCAGAGGAAATAACTGTGTTAATAACTTGGATGGAGTTGATATGTCACCACAGACCCATGGCTCCACCAGCCTTGCATGGCACTGAATGGACTGTTGTGCAGGTGTACTGGATTCTTTGGAATTCCTGGCAATTCTTTTGATTTTGATCCAGGGCAACAATGCCAGAAAAAAAGTCAACTGGTTGTTGCTCTGGAAAACAAAGCTAAGTTAAAGCTACAGACAAAGGAGAAAGAAAAGCTCTATTCTTGTCCAGGTAAAGAAAAGCTCTCCCTTGGGGAACGTCTGTCACCATATAAAAACCCAAGATGTCATAGGCCTCTGGAGCAGGATAGGTCTCCGTTATCACCCAGACTGATACTTATAACACAGAAGGAAACTGAGGCCTTAGGGAATTAAAAATAATTCAAATAACCCAAATCATACATCTAACAAGCCAAGTGAAGACTAGAGAAAATGTCTTTGCTTGTGTCTAGAATTCTTTAATTTTGAAACCTCCAATGAAGCAGAACGTTTAATAAAAGCTAATTAGGAACAGGTACAGCTGAGCCCTTTTCTAAACCCCTGGAGTGGAAGCATCTCTTTCACTTGCCTGGTTACATAAATGTAACTAAACATGCAGTGTGATTTGAACAGACAAACCTATTCTTGCATGTCCTGGGAAGAAGAGCCCCTTGAAAATGGAAACCTCATGCTCTCAAGGCAAATAACTTCCAGGTAGTCCCAGGTTTCGGACAGCAGTCATGGACTATAACTAGAGAAAATCACCTGTAAGGTCTGATTTTATTAGAACTACGATTTTTGTTTGTTTGTTTTTGAAAAGCAACGAAAAGTGTTTTGAGGAATAGCTGCCAAGACTAACCAAAAATTAACTCCCAAATAAATCAGAGTTCCTAGAGAATTTCTAACAGAAATTCATAGCTATCATTAAAGGTATTCTTCGAAATCTATACAAGGAAGAGTTCAGATGGTGGATAACCAAATGAAGTTTTCTTATAGCATTCAGCGCCTCTTCATAGCCAGGTGTGGCATAGGCTCAACAGAATGGAATGCAAAGCACTAGCCAAAAGCTCCATTAAGAAAACCCTCACTGTGTGTTGTAGGCAGCTTCTTCACTGCTGTGACTAAAGGACTCAATGAAAAAAACTATAGGGGAGAAAAAGTTTATTTGAGAGCAGAGTTTCTCGGGTCTTAATCCATAGAAGGCCAGCTCCATTTTTCAGGGCTGGAGGTGAGGCTGAATATCAGGGCAGGAGTGTGTGACCGAGGGAAGCAGCTCACATCATGATCAGGGAGTAGAGAAAGATCTCCCCTCACGGCTCACCAAGATACAAATATATCCCCAAAGCCACACCCAAATTCTCACCTCCACTAGCCATACCCAACCACTTCAGTTCCCACTCAGTTAATCCCTATCAGGTGATTAATTCACGGATCAGGTGAAACCTATAACCCAATCATTTCTCCTCCAAACCTTCTTGCATCGTCTCACATGTGAGCTTTGGGGGGACACCTCACATCCAAACCATGATTTGGGAAGACATTTGATAAAACACAGTGCAGATATTGGTCACCGCCAAGCTCGGAATCAAAATAGCAAGTCACAGAAGCAAGGCAGCAGGGGTAGGCACATACCCAGCCTCATCCCAAATATTGCTGACATCAAGCCTCACAAGTCATTGTTTTTTCTCTTTCCCTGTTTCCCCATCACACAGACTGCAACTTTTTCCTCTTAGTTCTCCTAGCTGCAAATGTTACTTAACAAAGTCTACTTTACCCCTTTTACACCCACAAACTCAGTCTCAGGCTGCACATTTTCTGATATCATCATTGATGGAAGACTCTAATGCCATTAGAAAACCCTGAAATAACACGGCTGATATATCCCTGGCAGGTAATTGCTTAAAACACCAGCAGAGATGGATGTCTAATCTATTTTTAAAAATCTGAGCAGACAGCAGTTCACCCTTTTTTCCCCTTTTCCCCAATAATTCTTGCAAAGTCATTTGAGTGTTTCAGACAAGAAAACAAAAGTATTAAATGCCACAACATAATGTGGCCTTTCTTACACAGCTTCTCTCTGCAATCCCAAAGCTGCCATTAGTAGCTTCCAGCCAACAGAAAACATGCTTGCTATTATTTAAGATTAGATTGGGTTCTTGATGATAATTTATAGATTCATTTGCTGAATAAATTTTGACTGGTATACTCTACTAGATTCTGGGAGAAATGGAAAATAAAACAGAAACAGCTAGCCAGGAAAATTTTTCATAAGCCATTGCAAAAGATTTAAGCCACAGTAACAATATAAATGACAGCAGAAGAAAGATGTTAGAAGGAACCCCATATCCAAATACATAGAAAAATCACACATTAATACTTTTACTACAAACTGTACAGGATAAACAAGCTACTTACTAATCTTGATCAAAGTAGAGGTCTTATTGTTCAAAACTTTCAACTAGGAGAGAAGGATATTTATGGATTAAGTAATTGGTTTGCAGTCAAATGATTCCAAGGAAACATGTATTTTTACAAGAATATTGAGACGTAACACGGATAATGCAAAGCCTACATTTAGTCTTGGCCAATTCTGTTGTCTTATATTTTGTGTAGATGTCAAATATATCAGTAAGGAGAAATGGTTCACAAATGCAATCCCGGGAATTGCCCTACTTTCCTTACTTGTCTAGTTTTCAAATAACAGAACTCTATTCTCTTATCACTTTCTCTAACAAAATCTCCTTGCTAGGAAGAGTCAAAGGAATAAAGGGTTGGAAAGTTGGCCTCCTAATTAAGTTCTTTCATCATATAACCATTTATTTAATTATGAAAATTGTAATGCAGCTATATGAGGACAACACTTTCTTATTATTCAGAAACGAAGGAAATTGAGTAGGACTGGATTACATGGAGAGATAAGACAGAGGAATAAAATGTTCCAAATCAGTTGGTAAAGTTCCTAAGTTAAGGAACAAGCGGATTTAAAATGGTTATCTAAGAAACCCTGAGGGAGATCTAAATAGAAAGCTCTTTTTGTTTTTGCCAGATGACCTGCTTTAGGGACAGAACAAGATGGGTTCTTAGGCTGTGTCTCAAATTCTTATTTCATTTAATATAGTTAAAATGTTTTTGTCTCTAATATCACAGCTCAAAATATCTCAAAAGACCCTGATTATTTATTCATTAGTTGGTAAGGATCATGCTCAAACATACAGTTGATACCTCTGCTCCTACCTAGGAAAGGGAGTAAAGGAATTACAATGTACCTCAGGTGGCTAATAGCACCTTGCTGTAGCTTTAAGACAAAAAGAAAGAAAAGCCTCTGACCTAATCAAGCATGACAGTCATGAAATCCTATGTGCAAACTGCATATCAAACTAATATTATTTTTACCGTCTAAAATGCATTATCTGGAAGATTGAATAAATAAAACACAATAATTTATTTATTTGTTATGGTCCAAACTCATATAAGCAGAAACCTCACAGAATGAATATAGGACTACTCATTTGTACACATCTGGGAATGGATAAATAACTCACCTGAGGTTTGGGAGAAAGTGGAGAACAGTCTTTAAAAACTAAAGAAAGGCTCAATCTCTTTAACTCTTCTTTTTGGAATTGCAAATATCAAAGCATTCCTGATTTTTGCTAAACAAAGTCATCATACAGCAAAGAACCTATTAAAAGTACTTACTCTATCAGTTGAGGACTTTGATAACTTTGAAAGAGACAAACCAACTAAATTTTCTTCATTTGTTCCGGACTGTATTAATCAATTTCCTTTACTCATTTACAATGTAAAGATATAACAAAACATCACTATACCTCATAAATATAAAATATGTACAATTTTTATTTGTTAATTAAAACTTAGACAAACACGCTCCTTAAACACAGTCAAACCCAGACACTTATAAACCAATGACATAATGGTGTTCACCAAACACATTCTCTCAGTGATTGATTGGTGAGCTTTCGTGTGCCTATTAGTTCCCAGACTAGACAGCTACCAATATTTAGAGATCATGGTCAGTAATGATGACCGGTCTATGGAAGAGGTTCACTGACAGATCAAATCATTAGGCTGTCATGGATTTGCATTGAAATTCTAAACAAATCTTTCTTGATTTAGTCAGAATCTTGTTCTACTTGACTGATTACTTTTCTCAACTATGTCTGTCAATCAAAATTAAAAGGAAGAAATGTAATAACTTTAATTTATTTTTATAACAGATATAGGTCAAAATTTCTAAGTCATTATTAACTAGTACTCTGCCAAGAATACCACTCTCAATTAGTCAATTCAATATTTCTTAGTTATTCCCTGCGACCAAAAATAGCCTGCCTGCCACTCATAAAGTCATTAGCTGGAAAGAAGAGAGGGTCCATTTTGATTGAGGACAGAAGAGATGGTAGGCTGTTTAAGAAAGAACACTTGGTAAGGAAAGAATAATACAAGTGGAAGAAGTGTTTTACAGTAGAGGGGGTTGAGAGAGAAGAGGGGAGGGGAGGGGAGAGGAGGGGAGAGTGGATAGTAGAGAATAGGATAGAGAGCAGAATTCATCAGACACTAGAATGGCAATATGTAAATCAATGGAA